CGATCTTATTTAAAACTCAAATCCTTTTTAGGGTTTTCTATTACGTGGAATTAAACCAAAATTAGTTTTTGGCATTAGCTGTGTTTTGGGACTAGGCAGGCCACTGTGTCTGGATGACTGGCAGAGAACTACAGGCCTACGTGGAAACCACTCAGGGTTCCGGTTGTCCCCCAGGCCTCTTAGGGTCTGGGTCTGGATCCTATGAGCTCACTAGAGCCTGGAGAGGTCAGTTCGCCTACCCTCCTCAGGGCTCAGGGCATCAGCACAAATCGAGGTGGGGTCCTTTTCACCCACCCTTTCTTGCCCACTGGGAGCTCAAGAATGCCTAGAAGAGAGACCCTATTTGTGCAAGGTGGGGGTGGGGCGGTACCCACAAGGAGCTGCAGCAGCTGAAGTCGGCGTCATAGGCGTACGTCCCGTCTGTGCGGCAGCTCTCACCTGGGGTCAGCAGACAGAGGGGCTGTTAGAGGCAGCAGAGAAAGGACCAACGTCCCCAGCTCCCTGAGCCCCCAACCCCAGTCCCACCCTACGGTTGGGATGGTGGTTGGAGCACGGATGGCCTTGTAAGCAACTGTGAGGGTGTTAGCTTTTACTCTGAGTGCAATTGGGCAGCTGCTGGAAGATTTTGACCATGAAACCTGCCCCCATCACCAACTCACAGCCAACCTTGGGCAACTCACCTCCTCTCTCCCTGCCCTCAACTTCCCCAAGGTTGGGACAATACCACCTGCCTGCCTGCCTTGCGGGGGTGGGGGGGGGGGGGGGGGGGGAGTGGTCTTGAGAACAGCAGGTGAGGGAACAGGTGAGGGGATGTTTTGAAAACTGTACATGTCTGAGGCGAGAACAAAAAAGAACTTTGAGGGAAAGGAACTCAAGATCTCCAGAGAATAGCAGCACTGTTCACAGAGAACTTGCTCTGTACCTAGTCCTGTTACTTCTCTGACTCCACTAGCCTTACCCTTCTGATCTTGGCTCACCTCAGTGTCACTTCCTCAGGACACCGCCCTGACTTCCCAGGTGAGGCTGGTTCCTCAGTCTATGTCTGCAGAGTACAGCACGTGGTTACATTTTGTGTCCCTATTTACTGTCGGCCTACCTAGCAATGCAAGGCTGTGAGGGCAGGGCCACACCTGGTTTTGCTCACCAGTATGTCCTGGTGATAGCAGGTGCTCAATAAATACTTGTTGAATTTGTTGGGGGTGCCTGGCTGGCTCAGTCAGTAGAGCATGTGACTCTTGGCCTCAGGGTTATAAGTTCGAGCCCCCAAGTATAGAGATTACTTAAAAAAAATTTTTTTTAACGTTTATTTATTTTTGAGAGAGAGAGAGACAGAGCATGAACGGGGGAGGGTCAGAGAGAGGGAGACACAGAATCTGAAACAGGCTCCAGGCTCTGAGCTGTCAGCACAGAGCCCGACGCGGGGCTCGAACTCACGGACCGCGAGATCATGACCTGAGCCGAAGTTGGCCGCTTAACCGACTGAGCCACCCAGGCGCCCCTAGAGATTACTTTTAAAAAATTAAATCTTTAAAGAAAAAAAAAATGAATTTGTTGGAATGTTTGTTGACTCATTTATTTATCCATCATTTGCTCATTTGTTTATCTCATCCTGTGAGAGTTGATGAACTATCCCAACTTCCTAATAACCTCAGTTCCTACAGATGGGGGTGCCTGCAGAAGTAATGAGCTGTCGCTCTGTTCCTGGAGCTTTGCAGACAGGGACCACGTTGAGGGGGCTGCGGCTGAGGAAATTCACTTAGCAGCCTTGAAGGCAGCATGGGAGCAAGGCTGTTGCAGATAGGAGCTTTAGAAATCAGACACACCAGGGTGCCTTGGTGGCTCAGTTGGTTAAGTGTCCGACTTCACCTCAGGTCATGATCTCGCAGTTTGTGGGTTCAAGCCCCGTGTCAGGCCCTGTGCTGACAGCTCAGACCCTGCAGCCTGTGTCTCCCTCTCTCTTTGCTCCTCCCTTGCTTGCACACGTTCTCTTTCTCTCTCAAAAAATAAGCAAACATTAAAATTTTTTTAAAAAATAAAAAGAAATCAGACACACCTGGGTTTGAATCCTGACTCTGCCACTTACCAGCTGTGTGACCTTAAGCAATGCATTGACTACTCTGAGCCTTAATGTCCTCATCTGTAAAATTAGAATCATAAGGTCTCAAAGAAGTCTTTTATCTAGGAGCACCTATGATGTCCCTGGACCTCTGCTTGGCCCATGGGATACAGTGGCAAATAGGACCGACAAGGCTGCTATGAGTCACAGTGGTACTGTGCTTGGCACATAGTTGGTGCTCAATAAATGCCTCTCCTAGTCTCATTCTCATTCTAGCCTTTGATTGCGTTCAAGGGTGGGCCTGGAAATCTTGGTTTTGACCTAGAATCCTAGCGGGGCTAGACAGCTCAGTAAACAGACAATGTGTGTGCTTGCATTTCTGCAAAGAAGGGACATCAGAAACAGAAGGGAGAGAGAAAAGTTCAGCTCTGAGGGGCTCATTCCAAATCTGGCAACCAGAACATTGTGCAGACGCTAAGTTTGAGGTCATCGTGAAAACTGACATTTCATTTTAACTACATAAGGGGCGGGGGGAGTACACTGTAATTGCGGTAGAGATCAGGGCCTCTACGGGCTTTCATCGGCCCTGAGTCCCGGAGTCCTCGCCGGCCTTTTGGGATGTTTCACAGGAGGGGTGGCCAGGAGTTCCAGTACTCACTGCGACTGCACAGCCACGGCCGCTCAGGCGTTGATGTGTAGTGGTAGCCGGCCCGGTCCACGCACTCAATACTCTGGTCCCCGTAGATGATCTGGAAGACCTGACAGATGAGGGCACAGGATTCCTCGGCAGCATCCTGGCCCAGGGAGGAGGACAGAGCACTCAGGGCCTCTCCAGTGCCCAGGACACCTCTGTTTCCTCAAACAGTGTGAAGAGGTTCACAGGGCCACACGCGCATCTATGGGCACCTTTAAATCGACTTGCAGAGCATTTCCTATCAAAATTACATGGCCACCCTCTGGGTCTTAGACTCCTATATAGAGTCCAGCAGCAACGCTAAGTCTTCTGCTCTGAAAAACGCACCCCAAACTTCTGGGGGATTCATAGGACCTCCTGAAGCCTATCTAAAATAAGCCCTAGTTTAAATTTGTCAGTAGGAAGTTGGGGCTCAGAGAGGTAAAGTGATTAGCCAGCACTAGAACCCAGGTCTCCTGTTACGTACTAGGAAGAGGAAGAATCACATGTGTGAAAATTTTAGACTCAACATAGTTACTGCTACTGGATGCCATATTTAGATATGAGCTTCCTGGCATCCAGGGCAAAAATGGAAGTAGGATGAATACACAAACCTCAGTCTCCTGATAGAAGGCAGGAATTTCAATTCTTGGGTGAAACTTTTTTTGAGACTGCAAATTTGAAGGGAATTTGCCTAATTTAATTCTTTATGTGTAAGCAAGAAACACAGAAAGACAATAACTGATGAGACCATCTTCATGATACTATTTCATATTTTTGCCTCTAAAAAAGCCCAGGGTATACATTAAAATGTAAGCCACAATAGGCAGGATTGATCCTTATAATAGAAATAGGCAGGGAAGAGAGTATTCTTATTTTATAGTTAAAGGCACCGAGGCTTAGAATGGTTAGGTAACTTGCCCAGGCTAATATAGCAAGTTCACAGCGTTGGTTACTACTGGCACTCAGATTTTTTGACTCTAACTCCTGTACCCTCCTTGGGACCACAAGGCCTTGGATAGGAGGCCAGGGAATCAGATACTCCTGGAATGCAACTCTTGGTTTATTTAGTCATTTTGCAAATTCTCATTTAGTCCTGTTTCAGGCACTGGGCCAGGCTCTGGGGTCTCAGATGAGGTCTGTATCCTAAAGCCCTCACCATCCAGTGCGATAAACAGAGCACACTGTTCCCTCTGCTTGGAATTCATTTTCCTGGCTTTTCGCCTTGCTTTTTGCTCCCCTTCACCTTTCAGTTTAAAAGGAGCAAACTCTCTCTATGCAAACTGGATCTCCTCCTTCATTACCACTGCAATCTGCTTGTTTTCTTTTTGGTCTGCATCCTAAGGTATAATACTATAATATACATTATTTCACCCATTTGTTCAATACTTATTGGGTGCCAGGTGATATCAATATCACGGTGAACCATCCAGAATGCACAGGTCTCTTGTACTCTCTAAGGAGACCAGTCCAGCTGGAGTAGAGTGTATAAAGGGGGACACAGAAAGAGATGAGGCCAGAGAAGAAATGGACTTCAGCCACCACTATAACGTGGGTGGTCTTACAAGCAGTTGTAAGGACAATAACTTTTCCTTGGAGGGAAGTGGGGAGCCACAGGAAGATTTTGAGCAGTGATAAGATGTGACTTATGTGTTAACAGGACTGCTCTGACTGTGGGGGGGTACAGATTGTAAGCGAGAGGCAAATCTGTGATCTGGATAACAGAAGATGGGCCATGGACCTGGGCAGGGGCAGTGGAGGGTGGGGAAACGTATATAGGTTTGGGATATATTTTAAAAATAGGGCCAATAGAGTTGACAGAATGGATATGGGCTGTGTGAGAACGAGAGCAGCCACAGATCACTGCAAGGTTTTGGTCTGAACAATGGAAGGACAGAGCTGCCATTAATCAAAACAAGGAGACCAAGGGAGGAGCAGGTTTGGGGGAGAAGATTGGGTGCTTAGCTTTGGATGTGTTAAGTTAGTGATGGCCATCAGCCCACCGAATGGAGAGGCTGATTGGAGAAACATGCCTGGAGATTTGGTGAAAGATAAAATTTGGGGAGTTCTCGGTGTTTTAAATCCATGAGACTGTTTTGTTCACTAAGATATATATAAGGGAGCTGGGGCTGGGGCGGGGGGGAGGGTTGGGGGCCATGGGTCAGAGGAAAAGTTTAGACAGCCTAGGGCTTGAAGGTGTCTGCTAGATTGTGAGCTCCTTAAGGGAAACCACCAAATATGTCTTGTTCATCTTGGTATCCATAGCACCTAGCCCAATGCCTACGACAAAGTCGCTGCTCAGTAAAGATGGTCAAATGAATAAAAGCAAGGATGAATATGAAGCAAGGGGGGAGGGGAGGGAAGGCAAGAATGGAAGGCTTCTGCCTTGGGTGACTGCCATAGTTAACAAGAGTATAGGCTCTGAACTTCCTGGATCCCAGTGTTGAAACCACCACCTGCTTCCTGTGTGATGTTGCACAAATTACTTAGCCTCTGGGTCTCAGTTTCCTTCTCTACAGAATGGGGATGGTTGTATTATTTGCCTCTAGGGGTTAGTCAAAGAATGAAATGTGTTCATGCTGGTTCCTTGTCTGGCATGGGTTGGCATTCCATTCATGCTGGTGATTAGTGTCCTCATGATTGTTACTGTGGTAGTGCTGACATTGACGACGTGGGAGAAGGAGCAAGGCTGGAGGAGGGGGTCTGTTTTGGCTATTCTGGGTTTTCATCTCACCGGGACAGCAAGGGGCAACAGTCCTGGAGGTGTCCAGGCTGGAGATTAGAAGCCCTTTGGCGTCGTGGGCACACAGGTAGTACCTGAAGTCCTAGGCAGGGCCGTAGGAGGGGAAAGGACAGAGGCCAGGGTAGACCCCAGGAACAGGGCGGGGTGGGACGGGGACCTGCGCCCTCCATCGCCGGACGTGCCCGGGGAGCACGCCGCTGGGGCTCCGGGTGCCCTCGGGCTCACCCTGTTGGCCACAGCCAGGATGACAAGGTTGCAGTAGGCGTCGGGGCTGGGGTCCTGCGGGTCGAGTGGGTTGGAGCCCGGGTGGCGCCGCTCCCAGCTGCCGCCGCCGCCGCCGCCCGCCTGCCTCCGCTCCCAGCTGCC